CTTGAAATAAAAGTTAAAGACAGTCATAAGGTTTGTATTTCTATTACCTAAACCAATATCTGGTATGACATAATTTATGAGAAATATGAATTTGAGAGAGTATAGCAGAAGTTACTGTGGACAGACACTGGCAAATATAAACGTCTCTTCAAGAACCCACTCTAAATGCGAGTGCTGTCTCATATTTTTCATTCACTAGCTTGATCACAATGACACACATTTTGATCAGCAACAGTAACTCAAAATACAGCATGTGTGTGTGTGTGAAAGAGAGAGGTTTTTACCAAAAACGGTAACTTACAGAAGGCAGGGCATTGTGCCATGTCTCAGAACCCAACAACACATCTGGAAGATTATCAGTGTCCATTGTCAGCCCTCGATCTTGTTCACCCTTATTTTGAACCGGCACACCAATTCGATTGCATTCAGATGAAATTCCATCTGTTTCCATTGGCTAAACAAGAGCAGAACGGTGTAAGAACAAAAAGAGGTCAGTTAGAAAGTTTCAGATACTGAATGGTTCTACTTTAGGTAAAACACTAAAAAAATTACAAGCTGAAAGTAATGGATATCATTTGAGTAAGGAGTAAATTCTATTTGTTACATCTATAATGCATAGATAGAAAATAAGAGGCTCAAATATAGAACCAAGTTTCTTTACCTCTGAAATGGCACTAGCCTCAACCTGTTCAGCGTGAACTGGTGACTCCTGTGCTGAAACTGATGCTGGTGGTGGGACAGGGGGCTCAGCTGTTCCCCGGATGCGGTACACCAAATATCGTTGAATATCTTCAAATGGAACATCCAACTGAGAGATATAGGTACGTAGATGTGTAATTGAACTTCCTACAGTCCACTGCTGTATAGCTGGATGCACTCCACTTGTCAGACGTTGCTGTAAGTTACATCATGTAACATTCATCTTTCAGATTGCCAGGAAAATCTTATTAAATGTTATACTTGGATAAAGAGATTGTAAATATGGTATGAACATTTGGGAATGTTTCATGGGAAAACATGTCAGACTGACTGGAAAGATTAAACAAGAACCAGACAGCATGCTGATAAGCAAAAGTAATGTATGAGATTTGAGGTTCTCAGGGCAGCAAAGATGTCAATTTTGGTCTTCTGTGTTGCAACATTGTGAACTTACAGATAGATACCAATGTTTCAGAGGAGCCAATATGGCATTACAACCATTAGACCAAAATCAACAAAAATAATTTAACTTAATGTTTCTGTTTTAAAGTTTTTTAAAATAAATTTTAACTTTCAAATGTACATACACATTTGAAATGTTGGGAAGATGGTCTCAGATGAACAAATGTTGATGTAAAACACTTAAGCAATACTGGCATTCTGCAACATTAATGTTGTCTGCAAATTCTGTAATTTTATATTGTTTTTTATACTAGATAAAACTTGATTTATTTTACTTACATGTTTCTGATGCCTAAGATGGCAACCTCTAAATTTCTTTATTCAGTAAAGTGGTTCTCATGTAACTTACAGATCTTTTATACATACTATTCATTAAGGCACTACAAACTTATTGATTTAGTTCATTAGCCTTTTAGTGTGTATGGTTTCTTGCATTACATTCTAAGAAGTGGGGTTGTGTTTTTCTGAATTTATACAATTTTAATGAAGATGATAAAAGTAAGGCTATAAAACATCAACTAACTCATCACATACAAATAAACTAGCAAAAATTCCACTTTTGTTCTGTAGGACAGTCTTGCATGACCTCATGTTGTCACGGCTACAGCAAAAACTGATAGCTAAATTTTTATATTTAATTCATAACAGGAGGAAAATCTACACAGTACACTATCATAAAGTATTTTAAAATAATGTGACATCCTTAAACCAAGAATATATAAGTGTACGAGTATGCACAAAATGGCTGCAACAGAGTAACAGTATGTAATGTCCATACATACTCATCATTAGTGTTAATGATTACTATTCTCAGTTTACTCACCACATAACTCTGCATTATTGTCTCCAGCCCCTGAATTTTATCTACACAACAATGCATCAAAATAGCACTCATCTCTCCGATGTATCTTCGACACCAACGAAACACTTCCTGGCCAAAGTTGTTTTCATTTCCTGCAAAATAAAGACAAATTAGTATCTGCACACACGAATTTCAACTGTAATCAAAAAATTTGTTTACTAACCTTCAGACATTATGATTGTGATAACTTCTGGAAGGCGGATCTGATTATATTGATTTGCAGTAGCAACCAAATCTACTTCATCTCGAAGTCGTGCTTCCAGCTAAAGGGGAAAAAATTACCTTAGACTCTTCAGAACAAAGTGTAAAGCAATAAAAATGACAATTATATTCTTATGGCCATCATGTGTCTCTGACTAAGTCTCGCTGTCACCTTACCCTAAAGACAGAAACCGCTAATTCCTCTCAACCACTAATAAATCAGAGCCCAGCACATGTCATCAGCAAAATTTGAAAAGGCAGTCATAGCAAACAAATTTGGAATAACAGATTCATTTCTTTACCCATGGTTCCAAATTAAAAGACACATTTTTAAATAATTCCAAATCATTATTGCATACAATTTTTGGAACACATTTCTTCTAAATATCCCCTTTGAATCTATCAATCTTTTCTTGATAAAATGGGCAATGAAAAATGGAAAATAATTTTTAAAAACTGTTTAATTTAACTTCTTTTACTTAATACCTTCAATATCAACCCAAGTACATACTTGAACTATGTACTGTGTCTGCACTATGTTAACCGAAGTACCAAGTCTATGTAACATTCATTTCAATGTCTATTTCAAGAAAAACCGTAATAGCATTTTATACATGTGCTTTCCACTGTATAGCATAATAACCAGTGCTGCTTTTCTCATTCTCTACCATATTAAATAGCCAAGGCAAACAAAAAATATCAACAAATAATAAATTTATTTCCACCATGGAACAGTGTACACAGCTGGTCTGTTATACCATAACACTCAAAGGGCTAAAAGTAGGTGTTTTCTTTAGTGTTCTGTCTGACGACAGGTCCATATGAACAGGATCCTTCCATCCTTTTCTTGGACTGGGACCTGTTCATATACGTTCATGGCAGATGATTCAGAAGTGGTTTGCCATTGCCTTCTTCTGTGTGTGAATGGGATGCCACGGAGAAACCGGGGAAGCCCCCGGAGGAAAACTAAATGTTTTCTATTTTCTTATACAATTATCAACATTAGGAATTATTTCAACATTTTATTTTACAAAGTGCACTGGACAAACCGTAATATCAAAGTAGGGTCTCATTTCCCTAATCAGCATGTCTGCACCTCGGGCTATGTTCTCTGGGGTGGGTGTCTGGCCTTGCAATATGCGCTGGCCAACAAACTCCCTCAACTGTGGGTGTATGTTGTTCAGTGAGGCCATATATCCAAAACACTGAGCGATCAAATCCTGGAATGTTAAATTTCGTGCCTGAAAAGAAAAATTATTTTATTATGTAAATACAATCAGTTATACTCAATGCAACAAATTTGTTTAATAAATAACAAGCGTGAAAGAAACTAGTGTTCTGCAAAAGGAAAAACAAAAGAACCTCAGCCACGCTCACCAGTCTCCAAACTACGATTTGAATTTGGGATCTCATGAATATGAAGCACAGCAAACCATTATACTATGACCTCAGTTGCCAGGAACTGCTGCACACCCAAAATGGTAGATAACGAACAAAAAAGGGATCAATCTAATTTCTGTTTGCACTTTATGCAAGCTTATTTCTATCTGACTGATACTAATACTGACTTACCAATATCATGGCTAAATCAGCAAAGATAGACTCTCCTTCTGTGTAGGAATGGTCAGGAATAGACTGCAGTAAGTCAGCCAATGTTGGACTGGAGCCTTGCACAAAAAATGTTCCTCCAAGTCCACTAGACAAGTTCTGATAACAGATCATTGAACATTACAAGACAAAAGCCAAACATACAACAGTAAATACTAAACTTACAATATCACTGCAAGTCTCGACAAGGCAATAGACAAACAAACCTCACTATACTTTTAAAGTGTAAGTGTTCAGTTCAGTGTTCCATCTTTGATATCTGTTACAAATACCAGTATCCTACTTATAAAATTAAATCTTCTCAAATTTTACCTACTACAATTAATTCTCAAGTACTCACATTGCATGATAAACCACACAGACAATTTAATGAATGCAAAAGAAACTTACCTCAAACATTTGTGACATCACTGGAGGAGTCTCACCAACCTGAAATGAAGAAATTAATTTTAGAGTTCATCTCATAGAGGTATAAAACAAGAATAATTTTACACACGACTCTGAATACAACCATCAATTTTACCACTGAAACTGTGTATGTAATCTCACCCCAGAAGTTCCTTGGCCGGTCATCATGTTCATCAAAGACAGGAATGATAAGCCAGGAGTTTGGTTCGTTGAGGCGGCACCAGGAGCTGAGGCAGCACCAGCAGTAGCTGACTGCATGTTGGGAGGCCTCGGTGGTGAAGGAGGATGCATTGGTGGTGGTGGTGCTGTTGGGATCTGGAAGGAAAATGAACCCATACCCATGCCAGGTGTTCCACCACGCATATTGCCAATGATGTTTGAAATTAAGCTGAAAAGGTTGCCAGCCTGTTGTTGTGGCTGTGGGGGGGGAGGGGGTTGAGACTGATGTTCGGGCTGGGGTGTGGGTCGTGGCTGAGGTGATGGTGGTGACTGGGCAGGATGGCTACTGGAATCTTCTGATGGTTGTGACAACTGCTGTGGCTGCTCTGCCACTTGTACCGACACTTGAACCTCAACTTGGGGTTCTGAACTTGCAGTGGCAGCCAACTGCTCTTGGGCCTGTTGAGCTATTCTTTGCCTACGCCTGAATGTCCGTACATGGTGTGAATTGCATGGTAAGAATGGATCAAAGTTGGTTGAACCTAAGCCTGTAGACAAATCAAACATATTACAATATACTCCGAACTACAACCACACTTAATCCACAATGACAGCAGCACTGAGCAGAAATATACAGCTCCAGTGCACCCACAGTGATGCTGACATACACGCACGCTAACCACTAGTCCACCGAGGGCGACTGTCAGAAGAAGCATTACTCAAAATGTTATAAATTTTCATTATATTAATATAGTACTTTTAGCAGACTAAATGGTTGCCTGATGTCACCAACCACTATCCAAGTGACAAGTTCCATTCTATTTAGAGTCAATAATATCAATGTATAACAGATATAAGTAACAATTTGTTGCAATTTGTGCATTACACAACATGAAAGAACATACAGTACCTTGCACAGTAGCTGGTGCAAGATGAACATGGGGACGTGAAGTAGAGCGTGTTTGCGTAGAGGTGGTGGGGTGCGTAGCTGTGTTGCCACGGGCCTGACTGTTCTGCCCTCCTGCACTCACGCCTGCACCAGCAGCTGCCTGAGTAGTTCCATTAGTGTTTGGTACATTACCAGTTCGACTCATCACATGTCCTGCTACAGCTTGCATCAAATTATGTATGAACTCTGGTGGAGGTGGTGAACCCCAGGGAAAGTTGCCACCTACAACTGCAGAATTTGAACATCACATCTTAGTGTCACCACCATACATGTAATGATCTTCATGTGTAAATGTAATTTCCACCTTTCTTTACAAACCAATCTATATAACAAGGAATTGTTGGTTGATTGGTTACCAAGAAATTCTAGGCCTTATGAAATAACAATATTCATGAATATGTGTGTTGCTGAAGGTAACAGCATTATGGAATATTATGATGTGTCACAGTGTCATAGTCTCACAGAAGTCGACCAATGTTTCTGAGGTTCTTACTGCCTCCATCATCGAGGTAATGAGTAATGAAGGCGGTAAGAACCTCTGAAAATTCAGTCAACTTCTGCAAGACTACATGGTGCAATATCCAAGAAGGCTGTCATCTTCATACTGCTGTGAAAACCTAAAATATAACATGTGTAATGTTATAACCGTTGCCATGGTTTGTGCAAAGGAATTTTGGGCATTATGGGATAATATTTTTGGCTATGTGGTAATTCAGTCATAGTCTACTACAGGATGGTTATAAAATAGGATTTTAGAGGAGATAATAAAAACCATAGAATTTATGTTACATAAAAACAGTTGGCTGCTGCTGGATGTCCGTGCCCATTGTAAGCATATTTAAATGGGCATGGACCTGGAACAAAATGCTGAATGGCTAATGTTACTCATTGTTCTCTTATAATGGATTAATATGAGTAGTATTTAGATTTATATTACAGAGTATAAAAATAGTTCTGTCTTTGTCATATCTCCAAGTATTAATGTTTATAATATGATCTGAGAATAACAAAGAGGAACAATGTAGCAAAGAAGAGTGATAAGATTCAAGGAGACAAATGTAAAGGGGTGGGAATAAAACACAGGAGAAAGGAGGGAAGGAGATAAAAGAGATAAGAGAGAAAGTGGGGGGAATAAGATATGAAACAAATCATTCACCAGCGATTCTCACAGGTATTTTTACATTATTATGATACAGCACAATTTAATGTTTTTCTGTCAGCACTTCAGTCTGTTGCTTGCAGTACTTACCATTGGGATCTACTCCACCTGAAGGTCCACTTGTATTTCCATTGGTAACTACTGTTGCTTCCAGAGAATCAATAGTGATACTACCTGGTCCAACTTCCATGAAGAACTCCACATTACCTGGAGTAATGTTGAAAGTAGGTTGAGGAACAAAGCCTTGTTCTGAATTCTGGGCTGTGGAAACATAAATATTACTTTCTAGTAAATTGCCCATCAGGAATGACTGGTAATTCTAAAGTAATAAACACACAATGTCTTAAATATTATCCCATAAAGCCAAAAAGTCCCTTAACAGCATTACCATGGCAATGGTTATAACACACACTCATTAATATTCTCCCAAAATGTCCAGAATCCCTTCATAGTACATGATCACCAATCAATCAACAAAGTTTCCAACCAACATTTGCTCATTATACAGACAGACAGACAGTTCATATCCAACCAATAACAGCCACAGAAAAATCACTCATCATAGTTCTTGGTTTACTTAATGACCTTTTCTAATGACGTAAGTTTATGTGGAGAAGAATGGTAGATTAATATGTGAACAATAAATTGGAAAGGATGTGAAATGAAGCAGTCGTAAGATGTTTTGAAGTACTACTCCAGCATTTTTCTGGAAGGAATAGGAAAATCAGATAAAATAAATATATTAGAATATGGTTTAAAGCATAACTCTGATTACAAAAAATTTATGATAGTAATATTAAAAAATTATCCGAATGATTAGTACTTGAAAAGGAAAAGTTAGTGGCAAGAAAACAAAAATTAAGCAATGAAAACACTTCATACCAAAATCAAAGTTTGGAATGCGGTACTTGTAGATATTATTGCAGCATGATCATTAAAAAGGAAGATTAAAGCACACAAGTTTATCACAAATGAAGAGGATGGAGGAACACAGTCATCATTAATTACAATACCAATATACCAAAAGAAAATTGATTTATACATAATAATGGCTTTACAGAGCCAGAAACAGATCCTGCCCCCAAATTTCATCTAATTATAATTATCAGGACTCATCTGTCACAGATAAAATTAAAATCCTATCCTTGAACATAAAACCTATGCACCAACATGCCAATTACACAACAGAAATCATGCATATTATTGAACGTGTCAATTCAATGCTATTGCGGAGCCTGCTTGGGAGATGGCTTCACCCTGACAACAGAGGCAGTAAGAATCTCCAAAACATATGCAATATAGCCTTCTCTTCACAGATGTATCACACAAAACAATAACCATATTAACAAATAATACATGCCCAAATTATTTGATTAAACTGTCTAGACATAACACTTATACTGAACACAGTGTTAAATTTGAACTTCCACATATCATTATCAACCACATGATGACAGATGATGAAACGAGTTAAAATTATGAATCAGAAGCAAGTGTCAGTCTATGAAATGGTGTTACAAATGTTCACCTGTAAAAGAAAATTTCAAGACCCAAGAATCTGCTGGAAATGCCATGGATGCGTAATGGGTTAAAAGTTAACTGACATATGATCATAATTTGGTGACCCATAAATGGATTACTGGTTATATAGGAAACTAACATAAGAACAGACTACAGTAAACTGAAGGCTGAATGTACTGATTTAAATTTCCAATGCATAAACGAAGATATATATTGTAAATGCTTTCAGTACTTACCTTGAGTAGTAACATGAGGTCTTGCAGACTGGGTCTGGGGTGCATCTTGAGTCTGGTTAGCGTTGGTTGCAGCAGTCTCGGTCTGAGCAGCCACAGTACCACTGCTGGGTGGTCCCAAAGTTGTGGGAGGTGGTGGTGGTGGTGATGAATTATCATTCTCAGCATGTGTAGTTGGCTGTGAGGTGTTACCTGCATTCGGTCTGTTTGCCATTACATTAATCTGAGCCTGAAAAACAAACAGGTCATTCATAAATAGGAAAAAGAGAAAGAAAGAAAGATGATAACACTGTAAACATTTTACCCTTTTGAGTATATATACACAATGTCACTCAATATTCATTAATAAGCTAATTAAGTGGCTGAGTGGTCACACTTCTGCATCATAAGTCAGAGATCTTGACTTCAATTATTGGTCAAGAAACTGTAATTCCTGACTGATGTCATTCAGGATTCTCCTGTCTGTCTAGGTAAATGTTAGCATAGTACCTTAAAGCAGACAAATTAGAGGGTGATCATGCATCTAATTTGTCTCCATATAATTGATGCAGTTGAGAACAATCATTAAACAAATTCATTAAAAATCACATTGAACAAACTCCCACGAAGATTTTTTCATGTTCCAGAGAGTACTGCATGCAAATGCTTTTATAATGAAACATTAAATCTCATAAAAAGCCTACATTCAGAGGGTAGGGCATACTGTCAAAGACAGGCAGCTACATAACTGAAATGGAATCTTGCCAGAACAAAGTAAAGTAAGAAGAGATTTCTCTATACTTAAGATTTTGTTTTTACCTGAATTGGTATCCCTGCCTGCAGTAATGCAGAATGTTGAATAAGTACTGGACGACATCTCAGATTACGCGGCGGAGGACACGACAATTCACACATGATGTCACTCATGGCATGATATGCATGAGACAGAAAGTGCATCACTTCTGACACAGAATTGAACACTCTCTGGGCCTCTTGGAGTGCTGTTGACTGTAAATATAAACAATGCATTATAAAAACAAATTTATATTGCACAACCACTAAACAGTTCTCCCAAGTTTCAACATTCCATACTATACCATGAATGGACAGAGTTCAAAATACAACTGAATAATATGCAATTCTGAAAACAGCAGCTTCAGTGTTTGAAGACCTTCCAGTGTTTTGGAAACAGCACAATTGCTATTGTCAGGGTGAACATGCCCTAAATCAGTTATAAACAGGTAATACAAAGAATCACTAACGCACTGAAAATAAAGTTACCTTCTGAGGCACTTATTATAGATATTTAAAAATTAAATTCATACCTCAAAGTAAACACATAGATCAAGTGGTCAATGTATTTTATGGAAATAATCACTTTTCATTCTGAGAATCAAATGAAATCCATAAAAATGCAGTTACTTAATGTTGTAGCAGGTGGCACATATAGCAGCAACCTCTGTGCTTTAACCTATTTGCTATGGATTATTTTCTCAGCACTTTCATAAAATAATGCAATGTTAAGGTAAAAAAACTGTCAATATATATTTCATTAAATGTAATATAACAATGTTTTTCTACAACTTCAAATGCTTCAAACCAGGTGGCAGCACTATGAAGACCAACAAGAATGCATTTTCAAAGCTCAGTGAATTAAGTCAAATGATACAGAAAAAAGGAGAATATTTCTTGATATGGACTAAATAATTCTGTGCTTCCACAACTGCGAGTTGCAAAAATGGGTACATTAGTTTTGTCATGGGTGTCTGTCCATCTATAAACATGTGGGAACATAAGAACCACTGGAGAGATTTTCATGAAAAGGAGTTTTACTAAATTTTTTGACACATTCCAGTTGTAGTTAGCTCACAATAAAGGGTACTTTTTATTGAGATCCACATCTATTTCTGTAAAAAGCAGTGACTGGGTAGGAAATCCTGATCTAAAGATCAACCATGTGGAGAATCACCACCCATTCTCAATAGTCAAATTACAGCTATGCCTTATTTCATAATTTCTTTACCGTCATTAACTGGCACCGAGTTATACTACATCAATATCAACAATACATACATCTGCCTCAAGAACTGGATCAACTCGCATGAGTTGATGGTACTGCTGCAGATACGGTTGCATATGTGCAGTAACATTGTTCAAGTCATCTAGCAAGGCTGCCATGTCATTTGTTCTCGGGTACCTGTAGTAGGAAAAGAACACATCGTGACAGTTTTGTTTCCTACTTTGACACCTCCATAAGCTGCAGCAGTTATGTAAGTGGAAATAGCAGGATGACGTGTTAATTTCAGCACCCATGGAGTCATTTCATTAACGCATTATTCAATGTACTATTGCTGAATTTACCTGGAAATATACGAGAAAAAACAAAAATTCTGACGAAGACAGTCTCTCGGTACAGTTCTGAATCACCTACTTCCTGAAAGGAAGGCAGTCACTCAGTGACAGCAAACATAGTGGTAGTAGATTCCCATATATTGCTAACCCATAAAACTACAATCATAATCATAAAAGACAATCACTGGATACAATCTGGAAACAATTCAAATCCCAACAAGTTACTTCCCTAACAGCAATTACTCTTCACCTTGATCTTCCAAGAAGTCACTTCACAAGTAATTTACCCCCCATCCTTTTCTTGTTCCACATCTAAGCTTCCTTGATTTGTCCAATGTAACATCAATATGTGAGCTGCATAAATCACAAACTTCCTCATGTCACATCTTTGATTCAAAACTTTCTACAAATCCTCCTGCACCCAAATATTTTTCAGAATGCTTTGTTTACAAATACTAACAATTTCTGTTTATATGTGAAATTAAATTTATGTTTCACAATAACACAAACCTAGTAACATGTTTTTATTATATACATTTCAGTACTTGGAAAAGCTGTGAACAAACAGATATCAGATAGAAAAACACCTCAACTACTCACTCTGTAGACCTCCTGTTTTGATTTTCACTTCCAGACATTGAATTGGCATCTGCTGATGTCTGTTGCGTGGCTTGTGCATCAGCCTCTCCGGCCTCCGAACTGCTGACTTGCTCAGTTCTTGTGCCTTCCTCATTGCCAGAACCTGACATAACATTAAGACTGATTAGTGACGAATTTATACGAGGCTTTCAAGTGACAAGAATAATCCTTTGAACAACATGAGTAATCAAAAACCAAAAACTATGTTGTGATATACCCATGAAAAGTTTTCTGAATGGTAAAAAATTACCACAAAAATCTTCAATGGGACTAGAAGATGAATACTTTAAACTATTAGCATATATAATATTTACATTTGACACATAATAGAAATGTCATACACAGAAGCTGAAGATTAAAACAAAAATATACTGAAATTAAGAATGTTCATGCATGTCTTTCAAAAACACACACCATATTTATACAAAACTCATACTGTATATAATATTGGCCTCTAAACATAGCAATATTGCAATAAAAACCTAACCTATAAAAGCCAGTATTTCAGATAGGATATTCAAAACATTACTTCAAATCAGTTTTAATTCTCCTTACGTGTATCAATCTGTCTCCAATTTGTCACTTACAGAACATACTTGTCATCATTATGGTATAACCAAATGTTGCTACTGTAGACATGTCAACCTTTAAGTAGCCTCAGCCCGGACCTATCTAGTTTTCTTTGTACAGCTATGGGTCATGATAAAATATAAAGCTATTCATAAAAGTCTGAAGTTAGACTTTAAAAATCAACCTGACATCAGCCATAAAGAGAAAAATGTGTTAAAATACTGCAAATTTTAAGTGAGCCAGATATAGCCAACAAGCTGGGAACTGCCCATTTCAGACTGAAATAGAAATTAAGCTGAACATGTAGGTAGTCAGTATACAAAATTTCACAACAGAATAACAATGGACATGAATTTTATAAATTATGAATCAGTAATGGAGGAAAGTCAGAAAGGTTATGCTTCAGCGTACAATTTGGAGACAGAGTTCTTAACTTGGATGTTACCATCTATCCGAATATTGACAGTCTCCTGTGATCCTTGTGGCTGCCCCCCTCGGACAATGGTGATGTTCGGGACACCTGCAGCATGAGCAGCAGAGACTGCAGCAGCTATTGCAGCAGCTGTGGCAGCTTGTGCAGCCTGAGCAATGCTGCCAGCAAAGGGCTGAGCTTGTGTAAGCACGCTACCACCATTTCCATTGTTCTCTCCATTCGAACCACTTGAGTAAAATACAATAAAAAGGCAATGTTCAGACAATCATTAAGGATACTAAGAACTGAATTGGGCAGAGTTCTGCACACTTTACAAATATGTAGAAACTGTTATATTTTCTTACAATAAATAATACAAGTCACCTCCAGCCTTCATCACAGCCAGAACCCAGCACAACAAAATATGGTGCTTTAATATCACAAACTTAAATATGACAGTCACTTCCCAGCTACCAGCAGGAAATGCATGACTACAGGATATCACACAGATGTGTAGGGGCATGGAGGTACAAACACACAAAGCTAAACCTCAGCACCATACATGAGTGGGTGTCCAGCTTCACATTTCACCCACAAAGATTAGGCTGGCTGGACTCGCAATCCCTGTTACAGCGATTAAGAAAATCCCAATGCCCCCTGTTCAACCTACCAAGCATATATCACAACACACAACAATCTATCAGAATTACACAATAACAAACTTTCTTACCTCCCATTCTCAGTATCTTCTGGAGGTATTTCTGGGTCTGGTGACTCCTGAATGCCAGGCCATTCCAATCGCTGCAGAACAGCTGATGCACGGCGTATCATTCGACGAGCCACAATTAAGCGGCTTTGTGAGAGATTATGTGACGGCTGAGGTGGCTGTATACCTTTACAAATTCAAATGAACTCAAAATTATAACACTACCGATGCCATTACAGTTGAATGAACTCAAATTCCATTACCTTTAATTCATATTAAACCATACCATAATTGAAGAATCTCAATAAATGAATTTCAACTGTCCTAGCAACTAAGCACCGCAAAACTGTATTCTGCTTGTCTAGGATGCCATATTCAGGACACAAACAGCACGACAGTAAAGTCAATAGAATAAGTGACACAGATTTCCCCTATCTGTCTACCTGGCAGCCACCTACCCCCAAATGGCTTCCTCACTCCTACAAGCTGCCACTATCTAGAGGCACTCTCCCCTGTGTTCTAAGTTTGTCATTTCATTTTATTAAAATAAATCAACATATATTATATAATTTATTTATCATTCACTATATTCCTTCATAACATTAATGATTACAATTAATAAATACAATGCTCCTGCCTTTTAAGGCAAGGAGAAACTTGAACTGTTGACAAGGGGGAGGGAGGTGTGTAGTGCAGGAAAGGTGGGAGAGCAGAAGGTCGACTGTAACTCCCACCAACAGTGTTGATTCTTTTGTTGACCTAACTGCATGCCCTGTTATTCAGATGTAAGCATACACAATATAAAGCCAGTCTTAACAGTATATATATAAAACTGCTGAAGTTTTCTTTTCACCAAATGAGATTTAAACATTCCAAATTTACAGAAAAGAAAACAAAAAAATAATCAGCTACAGTGCAGGAAAATTTTATACATCATTTATAGCACATACAATAAACATTTAACATATGGCACTTCCATTGTACGTACAGGAAGACATCCTTCCCAGCAGATGCAGGTAAATAAGATTTAGTATGATTTCTCAATGGAAACTAGGGTACCATCATACCTTGTGCATCCATAAGATCTGCAGGGAAGGCCATAGCCCCCAGATACATGGCATTTCCATCCATGCGAGGTTGTCTGTGATGTTGGTTTGTGCGACGTTGTTGCTGATTAGTAGACCTGCCACCCGAGTTATTTCCATTGGGACGACCTGCCTGAGGTGGAGGCCGATGCACAAGATGAATGACCTTGCCATTGACATCTACAAATCAACATTCAGGAAGCAATTTCACATGATAATAAAACTGTATTAGAGGTGAAGATAAAATGATCCCTGTGCCTAATACAAGGCAATGATGGCAGACAGCTATACATTCTTTACTTCAGGATTTAACAGAGGCTTCATGTACAAGCTGCCTTTATCCCTGGGGAAAGAAACCTTGGACTCCACTGGAGACAAAGTTTAATGACACCTGTAAATGTGAAGATGATGCCAAAAATACCAACCATAAGGAAATAAATCCCAAATGCCAAGTTAAGAGCCAGCTACTTTATTCACCAAGCTATCATGGCTCATGAGAAACGTTAATATTAACCCTTCTTATGAATAGGAATAATTAAGGATTCCTTAAAGCATAAACACAATTGTCAAAATAAAGAAGATTATTTTTGTCAACAGAATTGAATGTTTAAGAAACTGCCTTTTTTCAAACGTGGACAGAAATGTACGACAGTCTGTGATGTTCATAATTTTTAATTGTCACACTCATCAAAAATCTCATATTAAGTAGCATCTGACCGATGAAAGAAATATTATAGTCCGCCTACTTAAAATCGATTTCGAATCTGGAACAGACTGTGCTATGGAACAAGCCCAGGAGAACACTAGCTTCCATGAGTATGGGCAAGTTTTATATGAGCTTATTTAATAATACAGTCATTATTACTGCCATTTTTTTCAGAGCCTCTCCAGAAGCAGATCAGAGCTGAATAGTTGGAGATGTACAAGTAAAAAAGGATCACACATTATCATGCATTGGTGTGGTCTAATAACAATTGCATGTAACATTTTCAGTTATGTAAACACCTGTCCGTCATATGTACCTACCATATTCACTCAAATTTTTTTCATCTACCAACACCCTTCCACAATAAATCAACCGCTGAGAATCTGCAGGAATACTGATCGATTCAGCAATTTTCTCTTTCAGTTGCTTCACGGTAGTCTGTAACATTAAAGAAATGAGCACTTGACTACTAAGCTAAAATTTCAAAGAGAAAATAAATTATGAATAACAAGACTGTAACAGGTACTATGCAGACTGCAGATTAAAATATAATACCAACGCAAGAATAACAATTCACCACATTAATAAACATAATTTGTTAACTACAGCTTATCCAAAGTTCAAAAATATACTATTAGATCTTAAGGCTATTCCTCCTAATAGCACCACCCACACAAAGTTAAATTGACTGTTTTTATTTTTTCACTCTGGACTGTAATGCAATTATGTTTCTTCTTTTAGAAAATGGTGAAGAAATTCACCTGCTTCAACAACAAACATAAAACACATAATAAAAACAACAATTCAATTAATTTATTTAAATACTTGGTGACATTAGAAAAGCCAATTAAAGGCAAGCACAGAAAATACAGCAGTAACAGCAATAACAACAATAATTTCATCAACCTCCCCATTAACAAATGTTCTTATGTTCAGAGTCCAACATGCTCCAAAGACTGCTTAGCAGTTTCATTTTCTTAATCATGCGTGTGTTGTAAAACTGACTACTGCGAATTTTATAAAGAGCACAGGTAGACAAGTCTTTTAAAAGCAAGGAATAAAAAACTGTTTTGAACATGTTTAACTATACAAAAAGCAAAAGTAATGAGAAAACATATTCTGCTGAAGTTGCAGCTTGTATCAAAGGAATTGTTTATACAAAAAAATTACATGATAATTAAATACTTCTTCATATAGGAAAATATCTACCACTTTAGGCTGATAGTAAGACAAGAGAGAACTGCTTCAAAACAGTTATATATTGACCATGTGTATCTGACATAACAGCAAAAGTCTTTACTGAATATTGGATAAGCCACACTGTGCCTCCAAATTGGTGAAATGTATCAAATTTGTGAAGAAATGTAATCCTCTGACCTGATATATTAACACCAACCCCTTAATGCTTCATATCTCTACATTCATTACTATTTCTAAATATCATGTGGCTTTTGAAGTAGTAGTAGTGTAAATTTATCTATGCACCACAAAATCTAAAGTCAATACTTAATAAATAACTCAATCTCTGTTCTTCAGTTTTATTTCTGCCACAAAGTTAAACATATAGTGTGAGAATTAAGGGTCTCATAGTGGTTAAGATGTCCATGGTGGTCTGAACTGTGATACCATGTCGAATTGCCATTTTAAAGGAAAACACTGCCTTCGCCTCTGGGGCTGATCAAGCATCTTTTGGTTCCACATCTTTCCTACTGGTCTTAACTTTCTCCACATCCCCACCCCATTCCCAAAGCAGTGAATGACCAATCCCTTTGGTCTGGTCCTCATCATACCCTACATAAACCATTCAGTTCCTAACATTCCTCATTTCAGCCCAAAAAGATGTGAGGCAGTACATTCCTCTGAAACACTGCAACCTACCTACAAGATTACATGGTGTCACAACCCAGATCATCATAAACACAGAGTGTGAAAGACTGATTGCAGATCTATGAAACACTAAATTACTAGGACTGTTTTCTTCATACTACTGTTCAATGTCCACAGTCCTTTCACTGAAACTACTATCCAAAAGACAGGCAGCACAATATTTTAATGCCAATATAAACTATTACAAATTACAGAAATGTAAAAAATGCATTTTTGGGTCTTAATAACAAACAATTTTAATCTCTAACACCTCCTTACATAATGCAATAATCAGTATATTTGGAGTATTACATAGCAATAAAATTTTTGAAAAGTCTTTGAATGGTTCTCACTGCTGATGCATTTGTTTTTCTACTTTTTACGAAATGCCACAACCAAAATGAGAATTTCTGTTCCTACAATATCTATATCCAACACACAATTCCCAAAGTATGAATATAAATGTGGAGACACTGATTTTAAGTCTATAATATTCATGGTAACCATTACATTAATATACAGCAATTATTTTATATCACAACCACAGTAACATTGTGAGAGTAGGGGAAACCAACTGTTACAGCTATATAATGTAAAAATATACAAAATATCCAGAACAAACTTACATCATCTGGTACAGAAAACCCATGATTATGTGAATCTAATGTCTTCACTGTAAGCTCAATCATGTTTAATTCTGTAAGAAAAAAGAAATAAATACCATATACAAAACAGTTTCTCAGAAGCAGAAAATAATAACATAAAAACAATTCCCAATTTCCATTTCTTAGATGTGTTGAAAATTCATTTATAATTGAGATCACTTATTAGTCTAGTTTATATCTGGCAAATGTAATTATTGACAACTGGTCTTATGTTATTTATCACTATTAGTTACGCATCATGGTCAGATAGTCCTTTTAGCACTGGTTTCATTGAATAATGATTCTTCCTCATACTATCTATAAAAACATTATCAATGGTGGTCCTTCAGCCATTCTGAATTCTTGCTAAAAGTTAACATATGATATAATATTAAATGATGTTTGTTGGGAAATTAGACATCATGATGTCTTTCAGTACGAAAAATTTGCATTTTGTCACTACAGATGATGTGTCATGTATTATAAGTTCTCAGAAGACCTCGCTAAATAATATATTCTCTATTTGCCAGGAGTGTCTGGAGTATTACAACTCTATTCTCTTAACATATATAAATTTTGCATCCAAATGTATGCGAACAGCCACTCTTCGAAATTTTTCCAAAATTCATTTAAGGCATAACTTCCAAAAGTAATGAAGTCTTTTTATTGAACTTCCTCAATTTATTCACTGTGATGAGGAAATTCAATAATAGCTGTCTCCTCTAAATTGATGCATATGCGTATGAATTATAGTATCCTTATTAGACTTCTCCAGCACCTATAAACTTAAAACTTGTATTTCCTCAAACGAATAGTCAAAATTATCTCCTGCAATATCACTGAATACTTACTGCAGTACCTTTACAACAAATACTGACGGTATACTAGAAACTGACATGAGCAATTTATTGAAATCGGATGTTAATTTGTTTTTCACACAGACACAACTTGATAGCGAGCTTTATCGCATTACAAAGCAGCTCTAACGCTTCGGGAAAGCCAATGGTATTAAAAAATCGCATAAAGAATCATTACTCAACTTGCCTATTCACTTCTAGGTGGAGCAAGCTACGTCAGACATTTAGTTGTACCGTTAAAACAAAACTTGTGTGTGTAAGTAATTACGCTGCAACAATCACCCGCAGTATGTAATCACAGAATCAAACACAAAAAAGTGTGGAATAAAGGCTAAAACTGTCCAATTCTTACGATTAATAAATGTATTCGCATTCAGTTACGCAGATACTATCAGCAAATGTCCTTCTTCCCCACAATCCGCCATACACAGCAATCACAGATAATAAATTCAGAATTCACCATCACAGATAATACACAAAGTTGTCTGAAATTACAAAGTCATAGAACTTGACTACATACATACACATACATAACCCCGGCACAACAGCCCAGAAAACAGCCGTCATCAGACTCACCGCCTTGAAAACCTCAAATCCTACATCGCTAATATTTGTTCACCTCCCCAACCAGTTCCTACTACTAAAGGAATAGATAGAACTGAAATTATTTATCCTTCATATGCCCAAACCAAAGATGTAGAACATGTCATGGCACATATACAATACTTGTTTGTAATTCAAATAAAAAGTAACAGTGGAACCACGATTCCGGAGAATCCGACGTAAATACGTCTTTGTATTTAAATTATATTTAGGCAATGAATACAATGAAAGAAAGTTTATAAATTAGGTTGATAACTTGCAATAATTGCTTCTTGCGATTTCTATATTCCCTCATACGTTCAGCATGAAGTGCTATGCACCTTTATTTGTATAAATAAATGTTTTTAGAACCTAAACCATTTGTGATATGTAAAATCTGAAAATAGATATGGAAAGCTCAAGAGGCAATACGTATTTCGTACGCAATATGTCCAGATCCATCTCTCACGGTTTTCGAGAGGCGGGCGCTTAACGCGCCAGATGCATTGAAAATTGTACACATTGGTTCATTAAAATTACAATAAATATATAAACAATTATAATTACAATAAAATACATTACAGATTCTTAAAGGTCCTTATTTACTGATCATTTTACATAGGTTACATTACCCTTACAATTCTTTAGGAATGAACGTTTAAAGGGCTCGGATTCTCCTACACGAGTTCACAAATGCAGATGAAAACATTAAATGTGAAGAACAATAATAATAAATAGAAATTCCTTACCTCAAACTTTGTTCAATTGTAAGAGACCACGTTGTCCACCAGCACAATTTAATCAAAACTAAAATGGGCAGTATCGCAGATTTCTTAATAATTCTTATATAAGATAAGTACTTGTGATATTCTAAAACGTTTTTAACAGCACAATATTATCTACTCTACGACGCACTTCTTCTACAAGCGATTCACAGCTCAGCTCTTTCCGTAATAACGAAAGCGGATTTTTGACGGCAGTAATGAAACACAACAACGCCAAATAAACAATTAGTTTCTTAGGTAAAGGAGTAAAGCACTGTTACACATTGTTGATCTTACACATTTTCCTAACGCTGTTTTGCCGAATGACCCTTCCGTATAGACGTATTTACGTCAAAATTGTAGTTACCACAGTAATTTAGTCAACTACAAAATTACCGCCAAAAGATAAACATATGAGCATAACCACTGTTGCTTACATGCATTTATAATAGCTCAAATTATTTGGCTGCAGTAAAATCTTCTATGTAGTAGGAGTAAGGAGATACTCTTAGCACTAGCTGAAACTTCAGGTTCGCCAATTTGTTTATACTTAGCTTTTCCTGTGATAAGTGACCTGTCAGTTCATTGAATGTGTTGTGCAGTACTTAATCACAATAAGTATTTGACATGTCCTTCCACCTCCTGATCCTGAACACTACTCAGTGTGACGCTGACAACACTAGTTGGGGCAGATCTGTGCATTTGAGCTCCATGAGAAGTAAAAGGGCAAGGGTAGAAGATAAGAAAACATGTATCACTCATATTATAAACATTTCCCCACAGCAGAACTTTGTAATTTGCTGTCTCATTGCCAACATCAGTAATATCTTTAGCATATATATATATTTTATTTTTGTATATGCACTTTCCTTTTACCTGCAAGATGGAGACATGAACAAAGGAAGCAGTTTGGCCCTGGCTACAGTACATCCACAAGTTCTCAGCACAGAGCCCATACAAAACAATAACAATAATACAAAGTGACTAACATAAAATATTGTCACTTGAAAATGGTGGCAAATTAGAGTTGTTACATTTTCTGCTCAAAATTCTCTCTCCAACCTCCACAATATTGTACTATGGCTCTGAATCACCATATACATTTAAGTAAAGTAATGTGATTCACCATATTACTTCCATGTTAACAGTTGCACCACTAGTGGCCATCAGTCATGCCACTTCTCCCGTCTTAAGTTCTCTGTCCAGTGATATAACTTTCATTTCGGGGTGCTGCTTAGTTTTCATTAAATTAATGTTATAAACCACTCAGATCATTTGTTAACCCTGCATTTGCAGAAAAAGTCAATACAGTGCAAGTATTTAATAGAAGTATGAGGTAGAATAAACTATACCTGTATACACTGACCTCTACAGCAAACGTGCTTTGCCAACAGTAGTATTTTATATGTAAATAAAATTGGAAGGGGCGAGAGGGATGCAAAAGAACACAGATTCCTTATACTCCACCCTGGAGTATATTTTCCGACCTGACAGCAAAGTTTATTTTAGCATTTGCATCAAGTTACATTCAAGAGGCAGGCACTACACCTGCCAAATAAAAGATATTTCAGAAAGGAATGAAATTTGTGTTTTAACCATTTGCACAGACATTCGACGTTGAATTGAATGTAACACAAACTTTCAATGCACAAAAGTACAGAATTCATAAATCCATAACAAAGATTCCCTTTATGTGCAGGTAAAGTTACTGACATAAAAATCAAGATTCTGTCCTTTATATCGAGTATGGACTTGTCCTGCTAACATGTCATACAAATTGTGTTAATTATTTCATGTCACAGAAAAAGTTTTACTTTAATCTAGTACTGGACACTTGCCACATGAGAACTACACAGCACAGTTCTAATAATCTGCAAGATATTATACAAGTATAAATCGATTACATGCTTTTCTAATATGAACAACAAAGTATGTAGGATTTGAACAGCGAATTCTTCAGTTGCTTTCAGCAGCAGCGGTGGCAGCAGCAGGAACATCATTCACTGCCTGTTTCTTATCGTCTCCAAGTGACTTTATATTTTCTACTACTTTTGTGCCCATTCCTGCATCAGATTTTGTTACTGTTTCATCAGCTTCTACTGCTGCCTTGTTAGCATCTCCCTCAGAAGGTGGATCTGCAGTAGCTGCGCTTCCCTTCTCACTGTATCTAAATCTGTCATACCGTCCACCTTCAGCACGTGAATCATCATCCTCATCCGAAGACTTATTACCAGGCTCCACTACTTCACGCAGCAGTTCTCCGAGATCCTTATCAACATCAGCCCATAACTTGTCATCCATTCCACTTTCAAGGTCTTGATCCATGTCTCCATCTCCCTCTGCCCCACCTTCTGCAGTAGTTTCAGCAGAGATATCACGTCCTTCTTGCGACAATTTTGCTGTTCCCTCTGTACTGTTCTTACTGCCTGCCTCAGTGTCACCAACACTAACACATTCTTTACCAGGAATATCTTTTTCATTTGAACTGCTTGCACCATCATCCTTTTTCTGAAACACAATATACATGTGCTTTGCAGGCCAGAGGAAAAACAGTAAACTGCAGAGATACACAAAGAGACAAGAAAAAAGGCAGAAGTTGTGACAATGGGGAATTGTGCTTGAAGATACAACACAGATTACAAATTATGTTAAATGTATGAAATGTACAGCCATATCTGCAATATACGTACCACACAGTCTCTTAAAGATAGAAGAATTAAGATTCTATTATGGATAGAGCATTTCTAAATTAAAACATTTAGGATTTACCTTACCAATGACACCCAAAACGATATGTGATGGATATAAAACCCATTTTCAAATAAAATATTTTAATCATAATACAAACTTTAATGCAACAAAAATTTTGTAAATACAATTCAACCTCAATACAACAAAAATTTATAAACTTTGAAGGAAAAAATCCTCTTCTAACAGGTACTCGTAACATACAAAATTGATTGAAATGTATAATCCAAATATGGCACAAAGCTGAAAGTGGTATTAATTTTAATTCTAAACACAATAATATTACTCTTCTACTGCAAGGAAGAAAGCTCTACACAACAAAGTTGGGACCCTTCAAATCTGCCACTTAAAAGTGGAAATGTTTCTGAAAGAACAAAACTAATACAATACCAAACTTAATTTGGTAGCAATAATACAGTTACGAAGTGCCTACACACTTTGCTAAGGCCTAGCTACACCACACAGTTTTAAGTCTGGAATTATTCCACAGAAGAAAAGGTTCGACAGGAGAAGAAAGTCACCGCAGCTTTGATTAATGTTCTGTAAAGAGACGAGGAAGAATCAAGTGCTTCCAAGATATTCTGAAAACAGTCTTACCTCATCTTCACCTTCAGTCTTTTCTTCCAAGTTTTTCTTGGCCTCTGCCTCCTTCACAGCGTTTTCTTTTGCTACTTCCTTGCGATGATGTATTTTCTCTGCTTTACTTCTCAGCGCTCTATCATCACGATAACGCACATACCGCTGCAAATGAGTCCGAGTGCGACAGTGAATTGAAAGAGCTCTCTCTGTCTGGTCTAATCGAGGCAAGTAAATGCGACACAACTCACAGAAGTACACCTCAATTTTCTTTACATACTCCGAACCTAAGAGAATGAATCAAAATATCAGTAACCACTTCACTGTGCAAGAACATGTGCACAAATAATAAGAGTTAAAATGTTCAAGAATGTTAACATCAAAACACATTACTGGACATAATTCTGAGGTTCTTCAATAGAGTTTAAAAATCACTTCTTGAAGTTGCAAATTATGGCAAAAAGCATATTTCTGGTAAAGTAAGTATGAAGTAATAGAGTACTATCTCATGATCATATTACCTACCAAGATTAATTTCAGATTTTGACTTCTTCTCTTCACCCTCCTTGTCTTTTTCACTTCTTGGTTTCCCATCATCACCATCTCCTTCATCACCAGTATCTGAAAATGGGTTAAAATGTGTGAAGCATGATGATTTAAACACAAGCCTACCACCCTTCTCCTTTAATGTATATTCTGATTACACATCCTCTGTACTGTCCACTGCCCCACCATTTTATGTTCCCCTGCATGGACTGCGTTAAATTACATATGCTCAGAAAAAATACATCAGATAAAATATAGAGATGGTTGCATGGAGAGTGCTGCTGGCTGTTACTATCTCATAAATCTCTGGATATTTAACTTTTATCATTGAAAATTTACTTGAAATAATAAACAGACCTGATGCATAATCTTCCGACTTGCACAAATCCAAAAACTGACCTGATTTCTTTTCACAAACCAAACACAACCTGATATAAAATAAACACAAAGAATGTACAAGAAACAATAAAGTGGAGTGACCGGGAGCAGCAATGATGTCCTATTTTGTGCATTATCAATACTTACCATCAACAGTACCAACAGAATCAAGTATCATAAAGTTGTCCATATTCAATTCCTTGTCTTCATCCATTCCACTACCATCATCATCTACATCCCGTCCTCGGTCATGCAAGTGCATCATACGCTCCTCAAGTCTTGCTTTCCTCTGAAACAATCAATATTCATAGCGTCTTCATTCTTAGCATGTTCTCGAATACGAAAATGGTCAGAACTACAGATACTGCAATGCCGAGGCACTACATCACCAAAAGAAAAGAATTCATTCTTCTCTGTGCTCAATACATACAGAGAGCAAAGAGTCCCTGTGCACACACCCTAGGTCAGTGGTATTCAACCTGGAGTACGCGTACCCCTGGGGGTATGCGAAGACATCTTAAGGGGTGTGTAAAATTTAAAAAAATATTATTTTATGATAAGCACTGAATAATCAGGGCCAAATTTAATACATTATTTTGGATGTAATTTATTTTAGATGTGGATTATATACTATGTATAACTTGAATTACACACCAACAACTTTGGGGGTAGAGTTGGAAGAGAAATTATATCTGGGGGTACGCGAACAAAAAAGGTTGAATACCACTGCCCTAGGTGACACACCTGACTTACTCGTGTTACATGACCATATGACCTTGACAAACTTTTACCATGTCGTAACTGTCAGTTCACCACGAAAAATACATTTTACTTATGAGGTCACAGGGACTTCTAAATCACTTGTACAATCCAGAACTATAGATATCTCTCACACTATATACAATTAAAAACAAGAAAGAAAGCACACGTTTAATGTACAATACTCTTACAGTCTCACGCTACAAACATTTTTCCCACACTTAAGACAAACAAAAATAATGTACATTTTCTTTTCACTGTATACTTCCATGAAAATACATAATTTTCAGTACATTTCTGACTATTCATCTTCCATACAGTAGGGACAGAAGCTCAGGTATGACAATCACACTGCAAAACAGGACCACAACAAACTCCAAACCTTGAGAGCAATGGGATCATTGTCAGTCTTGTAAACCATAAAGGTTTAAGAAACACAAGTCTCTGGATCCCTATTTCTTGGCCTAGGTATCAGGGATTTTAATTCCAATTATAAGCCTTCTTTTTCATGTGAAAATCACAAGGCAAGTAAGCTGTTGTCAATAAGACAGTATTAATCAATACTGAAACCTCTGATGCATCGTAACACAACAAAAACAAAGTAAAATATCCCTTGTGCTCTTCTTAATAGACTTAAATGCAGGTGCATGAAGAGTAATTATTGTGACATAATTAGGATAGAATAAAATGGCACGGCAAAGTGTTAAAGACCCACAGAACAGGTGTACCAGTAAACATTACTGTTGGACAACTGTGTTATAAATTTATTTATTAATATTTGAGTGTGTATACATATATATGTGTGTGAATCATGTACATTAGGAGCTTTAGGAACTCATTTCCCTCCTTTGAAAAACATATACAACAATGTACTTACCTTAAGATGGTCCAAGGAGCATATGTGGTTTTCATAAAGCATAGGAGACTTGAATCCCATGCGACATACACGGCAATATGGCATCAAGAATTTCTTCATAGCCTTTAAAGAGAATTTATACATATATGTAAATATTTTTTCATGCAACACTTCCTATATGTAGCATACAGTGGTCCTTAAGTTAACAATAACTGCTTTCACATAAAACCATAGTTAATTACAATCGTCGTTAATCGAAAACAGGGAACACACTATAGACATTCAAGTGACTTGTTTCCATAAGCAACACAAACTGAACACTGAATGGCCAGTCAGCTGAGCTCAAAATGCTCATAAAAGAGGTTGCTGATTGGCTGAGGCCTGCTGGATCCACCTAGGAGCATTCTGATTGGCCAAAACTGTAGGCAGTGTAATATCATAAACATAATAACAAAATGTGTCTATATGAAACCAAGGGACCACAGCAATTAAATCCATACCACATGTAAGGAAAACCTACCCGATGAGATTCTGAAGCCTGATGTTTCGATTTCAGCTGCCTGTAGTTCAGCTTGCATACAGGACAGAAATTTGAGCGCGGTGCAAGGTTGCCATGAACTTCTTCAGTTTCCTCCACAAGTCGCTGCTTTTGTCTCTGGCTCATACGCATACGTGCAAGTGTTTGCTTGTGCCTCAGGGACTGTTTACGCATCATGTTTATGTGCTTCGACGTGTACAAATGTAATGTGTATTCCTGGAAACAGAAAAACATATTACAATACTAAACAAAATTTAAATTCACACTAATTTTCTTACAGCAGCTCACAGAAAGGATGGAAAGTTATTTAGCTGACAAACTCAATACTCAAAAAATTATCACCACTGTAACAAAAGCCTTTTATTGTGTCATATCTTGAGCCAGTTTATCTTCATTTTAATATTACTCTATGTACTGGCCTCCCAAGAAGTGTCTCCTCATGCAGTTCATGAACTCCCTCTTTTTCCAATCAATTACAAAATAAATATCTTCACAGACATATGCAAACCTTAAACGTTATGCAGCGCACATAGCAGTGGGGGCAGGTCAAACGGATGTATGGCCTACCACTTATCATTGATCGTGGTATGCGTTTTCGACCTTCTTCACTTACAGCACGGGCATCTGAATCTTGTTTAATTGTAACCTAAAAATTACATAAAATGTAAAATTAAGTTCTTTGTACAATGAGTTAATAAGCAATATTAAAACCCACCTAAGAGAATAATAATTAGTATGGAGATAGATGTTGTTTGGAAACAAATAAAGCTATTAAAACAACAAGGAAAATGTACAATTAAATGGAAATGTACTGAACACCTGGTCTTATGTTTTGTATTGGGATAATGTTTCAAAATTATGCAACTTATGGTACTGATTTATGGAAAATGGAATAACATGGCAACTGCACAAACTGTTTTCATGAGTGGCAATAACTGATAAAGTTTCATAGAAATAAGTACTTTCGTTTTCATGAATGAATGCTTACATGTACACCACTTTCATTCTTCACATCTGACTTCTTAGGTGGTGACGCTGTACCAGAAGCGGAGTCCCCATTGTCATCCTCTTCTTCCTCTTCCTCATCATCATCATCATCAACCTCTTCACCCTCCTCTCGTTCATCATCCTTGCTTGATGTTTTTGCTTCCTTTTTCTTCTCCTTGACTTTTGTCTTGTCCTTCTTGTCTGGAGTTTCACCTTCTTCCAATTCATCATCATCGTCGTCGTCATCTGCATCTGCCTGTTCATGAAGCATGAAATGCCATTAACATTGATAAACTAAACTATAAAGAAAAAGCAGATTCAATTAAAACAATCAACTCAGATGAAACTACAAACAAAATTAAATCAGACTGAACACTGGAAATCTCCAATTCACCTATTTCTGTTAATGACTTGTCAGAAATTTACAGAATGTGGCATGGGGCTTTACAACTTCTCATAAAAGTAATTTTGGAAGGTCTTACAAAACTCACGCATAATACAATTTAGAAAACTTGCAAGAAAATGTATATGCTGAAACACTGGTATTTCAAAGTTTTCACTGTTTGTGAAGTATGAAGAATCATCAGCAATCTACATGCAGGCAGTTTAAGATTGAGATTTTAATAAAGAAAATTATAATCAATAACAACCTGTTTAGTTTTTATATAATCCATTGCAACAGTTCAATCTCATTAATTTGACATCAAATTATTTCAAATACAGTACACTCTGTATCTTTGCTGCATTCACAGGTGACAAAGTTTATGTCTGGGACCTTCAGAACGAAATTATCCTTGACAGATCCAAGCATACGAATACTTTTCCCGGCTGGGATGTGCATGGTCTTGATATTATGTTTAGCCAGCAGTCTGATCTTGTTTGTGGAAGTGCTGATATGGCAACAGCTACACCAGTGGGCTCCATACACAGTGGCTTATGGTTACTATAGAACTAAAATTAAGTCGTGGTTGCTGTATCCATTCTGCCCGAAGGCCTTCTTCAGGTGCTCCAATTAACCCTCAAGACTTTCAGTGTCACAGATGGTTCTCGGACACAGGACGAGCGTTGTGAGCAATGCTTTCTTTTGGGCTGCATGGTGTTGAGACTTCGCATTAAAGTACAAATCAGTGTGTACAGGTTGTCTATACCAATGGTATTCAACCTGGGGTACGCGAAGACATCTTAGGGGGTACGTGAAATTTAAAAAAAAAAAATTATGATAAACATTGAATAATCAGTAGTGTAATTTATTTAATTTAGATGTAGATTATATACTATGTATAACTTGAATTATACACCAACAACTTTAGGGGTACAAAGTTGGAAGAGAAATTATATCTGGGGGGTAGGCGAACAAAAAAGGTTGAATACCACTGGTCTATACACAGTGTGTCCAAGTGAAAAATCTGGTTTCCTGTTTAGTTGGGTGTCTAAGAACGGAAGTGTCCTGTCTTGTTCTGCCTCTATTGTGAACTTGATTTTTGGATGGATGCTGTTAATCCTGGAGCTCTTCTTTTCTGTGGGTCCATACTACAAAATGCTATTATGTTGTCATCTTCACTGAAGTCAGCACGGTAGTGTCATTTCATGTACGCATTCACTTAATTCCTACCCCATAATCTTTGGCTAATTCAGTCGCCAATTCTTCACTGACAAATTTTTCAAGGTTCTCAAGCTTTAGTTTAACTATCAGTAAAATTTTCTTATGATTTTCAGTGAACTTACTTAGGCATCACAAGTGTTAACATACCATAAAGAAATTGACTGCACGACATCACCATAAACTTTTGAACAAATCTCCCCTCACCAATGATACTGACTGTACAGTAATGAAGAAGACAAAATTCTTTGCCCATATCTTCTGTAGACTCTCCCATATCAAACCCCCTTCCAATTGGGAATGAGAAAATGTCAAAAGCCTACCTAACACCTGTCGGCATTTATGAAAAATAGGTCATGCACAGATAAATGGGAGTGTTACAGTTGCAACAATATGGAATTCTATATGCTTTTTAGTATGGATAATGCAAAATATATCTAGAAAGGTCATGAACACTTTACTTAAAAAATCACAAAACACCGCATTACTGTATGATCTGAGTAACAGTAATGAGAAGAAACATAATTCTGGAGTTACATTACCACAGACTGAAGAAATAAGACAAGGGCCATGTGAACTGTTAGTTAGCACTTACTTTTTCCATTTCTTCATCCCAATTTTCTTCTTTCTCATCCTCATCACTTATGTCTTCAGTTGCTTTCGGCCCTTCCTTGTCCCCCTGGCCATCCCTTTTGGATGACAATGTTGCTTCCCTAATCCTAATATTGCAGAACAAGTTAGTACATTACAAACATAGACACAGAGACAGAGACACACACACACACACACACACACACACAAACAAATTATAGAAAGTCCAGCCTCCCATCTCACCCTCATGACAATGAGTCCGACGTCAAATCTTGTTACAGCAGCAGTTTCCACAAACTTGTTCACCTCCTTTCTCCATATATTTATTTCTATCTCTCTCTTTTCTATATCTATGTACATACACTGAAGGTTGTTCATCTTCAGAAATGGAACAAAGAGTTTTGCGTACATTCGTATTCCCCAATCAATGCATTATTTATTGTTACGATTAATTTCATTTGCCATTGTAACCCAATTTCCCTCAATCCTTGGCTGTGTAACTTTCATCGAAGTACAATTGACTTTGTATTGGTGACATCCAACAAATTTACATGCAAGTTAATGTGTTTCTGGCTGTTGCAGGTGCCACGTATAACAAATAACTAGAGACAATGCTTTCTTTCAACTCTATACATAGGCCATCTACTCCATGATCAGCCTAATCCATTTCCCCTTTCAATCTTTGTATAAGAACAAATATATACTCAGAGCTGTATAGTCCAATTTCCTCTTGTTCTCTCTGTATGTCATTTTGTAACCATTCGGCCAGTTTCTTTTCTCTTAATATACCGTAACAGATATTACCTCCGCAACCTCTGAAGTTTGAGTCTCCTTAGGGTTTCAGCTTGTGATCTTGCTGCTAACATTCTTTTTCGGAAGTTGTAACTAGAATCCATAATGTTTTTCTTCCTGATGAGTATGGTGTCGACTCGTCTGGGGAAAATCATTCTCGACATGCCTCTTGTTCCCCTGCCACTAATGCGCCCCCTGAAGGAGCCTCGGGGGGAGGATAGATGCCGAGGGGGGGCACTAGAAGGTGGGGGCATGCTTGAGTCCAGCTGTTCAGCCTTTCTGTGGGGATAATCCTCCCTTGAACGGTCTCTGAAACTACTGGCTGACCGCCTCTCCTCGCGGTAACTGCGGCCCCTTTCATCTGCATAGCCTCCCTTCTCCTCGGAGTAACCGTAACGATTACTGTAATCACTCCCACCCCCGTAGCCGCCTTCGTGGCTGCGACGGCTAGACGAGGCCTGTATGGCAAACCCAAAACATAAGCAGCTATTACAATGAAGAGGAGTTCCCATCTGCATGTTCACCATCACTGAAATTCTGAAACAATGATACTGTTGTCAGGCTTTCAAACATCAACATTCTTCAATTAACAACCAACATAAGTCCCTCCTTATTAGGCAGGTCGAGCAATATTGGACAGGCTTACAAGTTACACAAACGTCAAACAAATCAAAGATTTACAATTCCACCCAAACATACTGGGTCATCTTAATAGTTACAGTTATCATTCATAATGAGCCATGTCTATAAGACAGGTTTGCATAAAACTTCTTCTCACACACAAATAATGAAACATTATAACTCAACGTTTTCATTTAGAAATGTTATGTACAGCTTTGAGTGTGTTTTATTAGCATTTCAAAAACCACATGATGGCACATTTGATCTTCACCTTGCCTGGGTTTTTAAGTTTGCATTATCTATTCTGTGCTTTGTCACAAATCTAACACTGTTAAATCATCAGGCAATCATCTGAATTCTCTTTCACTTTTAAGATGAGAGCTGCCTTCTTTTTTCCAGAGGCATATCAACTGTTCTGCAGTATGTTTGTGCCAACACCACGAAATTTCTCATCCTTGACAGTGACAAATATTAATACCAAAACTGTAACACTGCATAGGTAAAATGGAAACCTGTCCATGATTAGAAAAACAACAGTGATACATCACTAGATAATTATCTCATATCTTTCAGATCTGTCTTCCTTTCCTAGAGTCACATCAGTCATTCTGTAGTACATCTGTTCTAATACAATGAAAGTGTTAAATTTCTCATCTTTGCTACTGACATAAACATAAGTACCAATATTGTGACACTGGATAGGTAAAATGGAAACCTGTCCACAGTAGGAAAAATAATACATATCAGATGTACAGTATAAACAATCTTCCTCCAATTCAATCTTCTTAGATGGAGTTTGTCCCTTGTAGTCTGTCAGAAGAAAATTTAATTATTTTGTTTATGGTAAAATACTAAATATAAAACTTTTTCATTTGGCAACTCAAATCTTCAGATCTCTCAATTCCTCTCTAATATACACAAATCTTCAGTGTTGTACTTGCTGTAATGTTGACAAACACCTAAATCTCAAAGGTAATCCATAAAAAATGTTAATGAAGATCCAAAATAACACACATATTGTATACTAATTAATTCTGATACTATTTCCTGGTCATGTCAATAACAATGGGAACAGAGAAGTGTTTGTGACCAATATGTTCAATGGTACAGAAACATAAAAGTAAACAAAACTGGAAAATAAAATCATAACATATGCATTTCCCCTTTTGACTTGACTTTACTGGGTTCTCAGTTGTACAAATTAAACACAATGCCAAATGAAAGCAATTTCTCAGTCAATACAGCTAGTCTCACAGTCAAAATTCAAACTTGGAATCTTCAGAACATGACGCAAGAGTGCAAATTATTTGACCAAGATGTTCAGTGTTGTTACTGACTGTAGGAAATTAAAAAGTTTTATCCACGAAGTAAAGCATGAAATATACAGAGTTGTTCTGGCAATTAGAACACTGTAACATCTATACCGTTTCAAGATATTTCACATAGAAAAATGTCTTGGATAGAGCTAAGTTTTCAATATAAAAGAAAAAAATCTGTGTGCATACACACATCATCACGCTCCGATTAAATATTGCTTTGACGTCCAAACTCTAATAAATGGCTGATAGTGGCTAACAAAATGTAACTCACACACTTTTCTTCAGCAAAAGTGAAGAAGTCTATTAAACACATCCCAAAACAATTCACATGCTGTAACAAAATCCAAATCCGCAGACTGAATTACTTTCTGATCCTACAACAGTAGTAAATATACAACTATACCTTCTAAGGCACACACAAGCAAAATACCAAATTTTTTCACATAAACCTGACAGTTTTATTTAAACATTTTCAAATAATCATCATAAGAAAAACAAACTTTGCACTTTTCAGTTCACACTACAGAATGAGAATCCAGGTTTGGGACTTCAGTAGTAAATCTGCACATGAAACCAACAAGGATACAGCTGCTGGATGGGTACAGGAGTAATTCCAATGACAAACAAGCCTGGCAGGCAGAGGTTATTGCTTCCCTTCTAGGATTTTACAAATTCCACCTCCCTCAAAAGAATTTACCGAGCTTAATCCACAAGCTATTGTACTTACATCACTGTATGGAAACACTTACAGTCCACTTGTGAACAACAAGCATCTTAAATAAAAACTGAGAAACAAACGCATGGATGAACAATGCAAGGAAAATTGAAATTTCCTCCTGTTACATCAAAGAGAACATTCATTAACTTGACAAAAGACAAACACTGCCACTATAGTATTAACACTGAGAAGTTTAAATCTATCCTGCATCACAAGAGAAGTAAATTAACAATTAATTAGAATATGAAATTGAGTGAATGGGTACCAAAATTTCAAATTGGTTCTGAATAACAGTCACATTTTAAAATGTAACCTACTCTGAAAAGTCTGCACACTCCTCCTTTAACACTTACTACTTTCCAATCCTTTATTTAGCAGTGTTAATATTTGACTTATTATTACAAGCTCTTTGTTACTAGAACAGAAAATATAAAATGATAACAGGCAATATACTGTATCACACCAGTAGTTTTAATAACTTGTGATTCTCAGTCTTGTACACTCTGTTTTCGTGCACAACACACACAAGAGGTTTCTGCTAATATTCCATCCAAGCATTGTTATCAAATTTCTTTTGCAAATACTTAACATTAAATTTTTCTTTCCATTAATATATAATGATAAAAACTTTATTAATCAAAATGAAAATATCTGAAGCTCTAATGTAAACTTATCTATGTCCAACAATAAGACATCTTACACCAGCACACAAGTTCAGGTGCCCTAATAGGATGCATGCTGGAAGTCTGTTCTTTGTCTTTTTGGAATGTTCTAAGACACATTTTCTGAATTTACAGAACAAACATTTAATCGATTGCATTCACACATCAAAAACCAACAGGCACTGAAGTCTACAAACCCATATTTACATGAATACTGTTATAGTCCTTCTGCGTATCTTTCAAGCTGAATAAGTGTTGGACCTCAGAAAGAGGATATACTAGGCTGATGATGGAAAAGACAGCACAATGAGGAACTCCATAATTTGCACTCTTAAACAAACTTTATTACGAAAACTAAACCAAGGAAGATAAAATGGGTGGGGCATGCACCTCTGATGATATGGCTGTTGGATAATTTTAAGGAATGCATCCTGTTTTGTGTTAATAAATAAATTAACAATCTGTCTACACATTTTTTATTACAATTCCAATGTCCAGTAAGATCCACTACATGTTTCAACCTTCAATAGTCATCTCCTGGTGGCTCTCTTTAAGTACTCAAAACTGATATGATTGCTAAAGCGTAACTTCAGGTTATAAACAACTCACAGACAGCTTGAACATTCTAATAGTTTAATATTTCAGCCAACATCTTACAAAATAGCCGTACAACTTAAAATCTTCACCCTTCCATTTCAGAATACACCTTCAAAACAGAGAAAAAAATATGTTTCTACTCTAGGTCAAACTTCCAACGCTTCCAGGTACATACCTATTACGAATAACTGTAAAGCAATCACACAGATACATGCAAATGTAATGTTTAAAATATGCTTACAACTTAGCAGTGATATCTATTAGTTGTGAGCACTTAAAAGAGAACCACCTGAATACAATCATTTTAGATCAAATCTTGTAGTGGATCTTAACAAGCAATGAACCTATAATCAAAATTTCTTGTGTAGATGGACTGTGAACCTTATGAGTTGAGGGATGCATACAGGATTTCGGTCAGAAAACCTGAGAGGCGTAGGAGACCTAGTGGTATGATGATACAGTAAAACCCATCTAGTTGGACACCCCTATATCCTGGACACCCCTTTATATTGGACACTTTTAATTGGAACCAGCGAATATCCTATAATTTTACATGTCCACAATACCATATATCTTGGACACCCCTTTATCCTGGAAGTTGAACACCTCTTTTGTTGTAAGTTGGACAGGTTCATGCACTTAACTTCGATGCTTTTCAGGGAAAGTTTATCAGTTACATATTTTGTTATTTTGAATTTCTGACTGATTAATGCCTCCTCTCAGGAGGATTATCTTATAACATTGAACCCATCACTGGAATGCATTGCAAGTGTTTAACTGTTCTTTTGCTGAACCCTTAACTGGACTACAGTATCACAGAAGACACAGTTTTAACTCCATCAGTATTGTGCTTGCATTTGAGTTCAGACTGTGTTAACAGAAATGGAATTTTTGTTTTTGCGATGGGGAGGCAAAAATTAGTGGAATTAACTTTAGAAAATGTTATTGAGACTGGGGTGTAATGTGCAATGCATGGGAGTGGGCTTCAAAAGATTATTATTAATACTATTGTCATTAATTCTTAATTCAAGTAAGCCTACAGCAGTTAGTGTATGTAAGTAAATAGACCATATTGTCATTAGACCACAATCGATATTTATCTTTCCCTCTATCTTGGCCACCTCTGTAAGTTGGACACATTTTCGTGGAACCACAAGTGTCCAACTTAGAGAGGTTTTACTGTATTTCATACAATGGACATTACAATTTTAGCAGTTCATAAAAGTGAAAGATCCCTATATGCAAACTGCATCAAGGATTTCAATTTAATTATCTTTTTTCTGGCATCAATTTTGCTTTTTTGCATTAGGGTCATTGTTCTAATAACATATTTTGAATGCCAAATACAGGAAATTAAAATAAAATATATTTTCTTTCAACACACTGCGACAGATCAAAAAATGGCACAAAAAGCTGGGGTATATCTAAATTATGCCCTCCTTAATTGGAATTCATCTTATACAGGATAATTGAAAATAGAATTAATAAAATTTACTAAACAAAGGAAACTAGAAAAAAAAGTAGGACAGTAGACAAGGGATATGAAGAGTTAATGAGATATCTATAGCATAAACTCAGTTCCTTTTCATGTTACGTACACTGCTGAAATATGTCATCACTGAAATGAAACTTAAGACTGCAATCTCAGGCATCATCTGCAAGAAGAGAAATCATGAAAACTCAAGTACTCAAAACTGATAAGATCTAAACCTTGTCACTCTACCTGTACATAACCATGATCAGTCCTCAAACGTTTGCGTTGGGACTCTGGAGATCTGTGATGACTGTGATCACGAGCTGAGTAACCTGGTCCATCCTATAACACAAAATAGAAATAAGTTGAGGAAGAACGATAGGATATCTCAAATTAAAGTTGTCACATTCACATCCTGCAAGTTTTTATTATGTATGATTAGCAGAGTATAGATGAGGCAACAAACTCTGATAATTCAAACTTGTCTTTTGGTTCCTTCGTCTATTAAATTTTAAACACAGTTAAAATCTCACCATACGGCTGTAGCGCCGATAGCTGGAGTCATCTCCACGACCTCGGCTGGTGTATCTTTCACCACTACTGCTACTAACTCCACCGCCTATAAACAATTTAATTTTTTATTATCAAATACTAGAACACAAACAAAACTGAACTGGCTCAGAATTTGGTCAAAAAGTGGGATCTGGTATTAGCAACATGAACCTTCAGACAACTGTCTGAAAATCCAAACCACTTAAGTGACACTTGAAATCTTTACATCATAAGTACACTTCTATTCTCTTATGTTTAAGGCTATGCATAAAATAAGGCAGGTGCAATACTTCTCAAGAAAATAATGGACAGGCCATAAACCAAACATCCTTGCATGGGTACTTGTCTCAAATAGCTACCATATCCATTTGAATGCAATTTCATTGCAAATTATTAACGCAGTTTTACATTCCTTCAAACACTGTAGTAGTAGTAGTAGTTCCTGTAACTCCTAAGTGGGGCACAGGGCCTCCTTTCAGAGGTTTCATAGTCTTTAAAGCGTGCACTGAATAGTAGTGAGTGACCAGCTCACTGACACTGCACAAATTCTACTCACTCCTGATTTGACTGCCAGAGCCATCTAGCAGTGAATCAGGAGAGACTTGGGTGAGAAATGGCCGCTGAATTTTGCTTACGAACATCTCGTATCATGCTCACAAGGTTCTTTTACATGCGGTAAATCTACGACATGGGACCGCCGGCTTTACTTCCCCTCAGAAGGAAGTTGTGCTACGGATTTTTATCAACCTTAAAAATCCATCAACCTCAGCAGGGATTGAACCCACAAACCTCGGGTCCAGTGGTGAGCATGCTAACCACTAGTCCACTGAGGGCAACCTTGAAAAACAGCCCCATGATTATTAAGTATATGTGCATGCATGCATACAAACCTCCACACACACAAAAATGCATTATTTAAAGCTTATAAAAGTACAATACCTGATGGGTATCTGCTCCGAGAATCAAAACTGGAGGAATGTTCTTTGTACCAACCAAAGCGCCCTCTTGAAGCACCTGAAAAGCCACCTCGTCCACGGCTGTTCTCACTACTCCAGCTACTACCATCTGCTCCTCTGCCACGAAAGGAACTGCCCCTTGCACTAAAACCTCGACGAGACATCAATGCAGTTCTGGAATTACATAAATTCTAAACTTTAAATAAGTGAAGACTGGTTCTAGCGGAACCTGACAACATACCTAAAACCAACACAATGCCTCATTTGAACAAACTACAACCTCCCCAACTCTTGGCATTCATTTGTCAATATGTGGTGATCATAATTAGCCATGCTATAGTTGAACACACTGATTTTGGTATAATTTAATATAAATGAGAGGAGGATTAGGATTGAGACAGGAATGAAGAACAAGAGTCATCAAAATATTGGCTGCCTGTAGTTGTTGTTGTACCTGGATATGGTTAGAGTTGCTACTCTTACCACATAATTTAAATAATATGACCACCTTTCAAAGGCTGATTTCAACAAAAATTTCTTCTTCAAATGTAAACTTGTTTCATGTAGATTGAACAATCACAGAGATTGTAATGTTTGAAGAACAATGGTAAAATTATATGAATGGACTTCTACAACTACACAATTCCATTACTCAATCACCATATGAAGTTCAAGTAAGCACTTAAAAAAGTATTTCCTATCTCATTCCTTCTACTCCATAGAAGAATTTACCTCAAACAAAAATTCTCAGCTATTATAAATACATTTAAGCAATAGTTGTGAGTTCTCGTGTAATAATTTTTGCTACAACAAGGTAGTTGAGTGTAAATCACTATAACTATGTAATTCATATTTGTATTAGAAACAAGTACTGTATTTGTGCTATGACATGTTCTACATCATTAGCTTGGGCCAATAAAGATCTATAGAATGCAAATGAACTATTTTATACACAAGACTTTTAGACACATACCTAATGTATCAGAGAATACTATTCAACAATAAGAAGGAACATTCTATAAATCGTGTACTATAGATAAGCATAAAACTTTATGAAAGTTCTGTTCAATCAATCTACATTTCGTCATAATGTTAGGAACTGAAAAGTAACTACAGTTTAAAACCGAATTTACACAAACCGGTAATGCTATGGACTGAATAACACAAACTCCAAAATGGCGGCGAACCAAACTAATGGTACGTAGCAATCCCAAGTAAAACGACATTAGTTTTAACAAAAATATAAAGAACTCATACACATGCCTAACTCTGCAACAATATCATACAGACTTCCTGCACAATTTACCACATGACCATAACGAAATTTACTACGCCCCAAACTTACGATAGCGATCACAAAGTAAAGATATACGATAAAATATACTTATTAAACATATGCAGGACGGAAACTACATTATGTTACTTACGTTTGCTTATAATATTAAAGAACTACTACTTCTGAGACGCAAAGATATCACTTCTTGTAAAAAAGATAGACCAAATTATTAGACCAACTACTTTTCACCAACGCCAACCACTGAACTCCACTTTCAATCACAGAATAGCAAACCGCAGGAAAATGCCATTCACAGAATTATTTCAACCAACGAGTCTCATGAACACGGAGAACGAAAACGGACAACATACAGTGAAGAAGAGCCATCTGTATTAAATGAACCATGTTAAAACCCCGAGATTCAATAATAAAATGTAAATAAAACGCTGATATGTGAGATTCCTGTAGATCCACGTTTACATATGCTCATTATATATAACGTCCAGGTTTATGAATAAGTCCAGAATTTAGGTTTGGATGAAATGTGATTTAACAGATTCATAACAACTGCCATTTTTTGCCCTTATGCATTGAAGCAATATATATACACAACTTTAGTTGAAAGTTTAAACTGACATTCTCAGCAACGGTTCATCGTACGTAAGATTTGTATTTAAAATAGATATTTTGAAACCAATGTTTGGAACATTTTCCCATATAACGTACATTTAACAAAACAAGGAATTGTGTTTCGTCATAAGCATTTAAATTATGACGTTCATTAATGTGTAACTATTCCGTTAGGTTTCCTTCCTGCGAAAAAGCGCTGGTGTTGGCAAGGCACATCCTTGAAAAGCAGAGAGAATAAAATGTTTAAATCAGTCTGTTGTTATGACTGCTTAGTTTGTTTAGACCAGGAGGTAAAGGTCTGGTCAGAGGCTGAATTCAGCGGACACTGCATCTTACACCATTGCAATGATAAGATGATAAAGACTAATAGGTTCCGGTTGCTGGACTACCGTGAACATAGACTGTACTGGATTTGAGGTTCCCACGGCAGTGAGTCTGAAGATGGCTGTCTTCTGGGTTGTTGCGATATCGCCCTGATGTTGGAGTCAGCAAGGACATCTGAAACGTCAGTAAACTACCAGATAACAAGGCACAACTAACCAGAAGACAGCCATCTTCACAGACTATACATTTCAGAAAATAATTATATAAGTAGGATGACGCCAAAATAATTGAGTTATTGAGAATATGCGGCATTTTTTACGGGGCTTACAAATAGATATTCGCCTAGCACTACATAGCATTGCATTTTTTAATAACATTATTCTTTGCTGACTCATTCAAAAGTTAGTAAAATTATCCATACTTGTTCAGTTTGGCTCAAAATTTCGTGAATTGAAAATAGGCGTCTCCGAGCCTGAAAATTAACATCTCCTCTGTCTGTGAATTGTGTTACTTTTGTTAGTTATACAAGAAATTACTGTTTTGTCCATTTTACATCTACAACTCCGGTGGTTCATCTCCACTGTCAATGCATTAAACATACCAAACCAAATTTTTTTTTTAAAAAAAAAAGTACTAATTTTGCCTGTGGGATTTCCTACGCTGCAGACGTAGTAAGCCCTTGTTCGTGTTCCGTCACGGGAAAAGCGTTTGAGATACTCTTTCTAGATCAGTTTCAATATTTTGCAAGAACATTACGCTCATATCCTGGAATGTGTGTAGAGGGGTTCATGTTGTAACATCTGCCCATTTGGGATCACGTGAAAATGAAAGTTTTTCTAGAAAATGTAGGTGCTAAAGAAAATGTGTGGTGAAAGGGTCAACGTTAATGCTAATATCACAATCGGTCTATTAGTCAGTGCAACAATATGTAGTTTGTAAAATTTTTATTTATTTATTTAGTCAATTGAATAAAAATTTACTTGGATATTATCCATCGTCTAGTAATAAAACGTAAAAAACGACGTTTCGGAGATGAGACTCTATCTCCGTCTTCAGGTTCCTACTCAGTTGGGCCCACTAGATAGAGCTAATCCCTATCTCCGGACCGGATAGGGATTAGCGCTATCTAGTGGGCCCAACTGAGTAGGAACCTGAAGACGGAGATAGAGTCTCATCTCCGAAACGTCGTTTTTTACGTTTTATTACTAGACGATGGATAATATCCAAGTAAATTTTTATTCAATTGACTAAATAAATAAATAAAAATTTTACAAACTACATATTGTTGCACTGACTAATAGACCGATTGTGATATTAGCATTAACGTTGACCCTTTCACCACACATTTTCTTTAGCACCTACATTTTCTAGAAAAACTTTCATTTTCACGTGATCCCAAATGGGCAGATGTTAAAACATCTCATAAATTTATATCCTGTACTCGCTAATGAACACGCCTATCGTTCGTTGTTAATTCGTACAATCTGAGGTGAAAATTAGTCTGCTTTAATCTGTGATTAAAATCCACACGTACTTTTCCTGTGTCTAGGTCAGAGAAGGTAATCTTCCCTCTAATTAGAAACATGAAAGTGCTATATTAATTTATAAATTCGTTTTCGTTTGGAGGGGGGGGGGACTGATGGTACCGCCATTGGTGGGATGGAGGGGTATTGATTCTCCCAAGCCAGGCGGCGTTCAACATTCAGTGTGTCGTAAGGCGTCGTCATGGCAGCAACAGCGTCGCGACGACCCTGAAGCAGTGACCGTGCATCGTGATACTGGTGATTCACGAACAGTGAGAAGTGAACTAGTCTTTTCTGTAACCCCATATAATATTGCGAGCGAAGGGGACTGGGTTCGAAACTTAAGCCCGTGATTATCGGCCGTCGTATTATTGATTCGGGAGATTTTCGTTGCCATGACGACAACACAAATGCTGGAATCCTGGACACCGTCCAGCTAGTCCCGTCTGTTCACGTCAAACAGGTTATGTTCACGATGAGGACCGAACAGCGCGTGCGTCGTAGTTGAGGCCTCAAATGATGGACTTATGCTGTGTAGGGGCCGGGTGTGCGCCCTGGGGCTCCTGTTGACCTTATACCTGGCAGGAGTCTTGCTTATATCCACTGTCACCCTGGATGCTCAGCACAAGGTCAATTTAAAGGATTTTGACGTAATTTGGTGTCGCTGGTTTTAATTACTAACCTAATATTCACGCGCAGTTTCGATTGAAAGCGGCTACAGGATTCGCAAACTAGCAAAGAAATTGGCTGTGAGGACGTTAACTGTCTTTAGTCGCTCAGAATAGCTCCTAGTGACGGGATTTATTTTTGTGACGCCGTCACGTCAGTTTCTATTACCAGATTCATTAAAAAAAAACCCGCATAATCACAAATGTTACCGTCAAAAGAGGTCTAAAATGTTTCATATGCAAATGTTCTGAACACAGTGAAAAGAATAGATTCGTATTCTAATGTCCCCTGTCGGGATTAGAACAAGGACTTAGTAAAGTGGAATTAAAGGGTTTTGAAGATTGAATGTAAGTCTTAACCGTCAGCGCTGCGTTAATATCCGGAGAAGGAACGCAGATGAGTTACAAGCCTAATTCTACCTACAAAGTGGTTCCTTTTATCAAAATCTTGTGACGAAAATGTTGTGTGCATTTATAATTTTTTTATAGTGAACTGCACATCTAACTTTGCGTGATTTTATCCTCCTAATTATATTTAGCGAAAAGTACAAATCACGACAATTCTAATTTTACAATTTTCTTCAGAATGTCTTAACTTTCTTAGTCCAAATATTCTTCTCGGCTCCGTTGCCCAAAAATCTTCAATGCCCATTTTTCCCTCACGATGAAAACAAAAGTTCAGCACCCTTTTAAGGCAACTGGTAAAATGATATAAAATTATAATTTGAGTTTCAGTACTAATACTTAATTAATAAATTACCCCAATTTATGCAAAATATGTTTTACTGCCGTGAAAATTTAATAACAGAAACATAATTTTTTTAAAAAAAAAGACTTTTAAAAAGCAATATGAAACACATGGGGATATATTGAATTAATAAGACTAGAATTACACTGTATTAATTTTATGAATTCTTGTGTGTAATTAGCTGCTACTAATCTTTAACACGAGTCCCAGTGGTTTTCTGCGGGGTACAACCGATATTTTGATCTGAAACCATTAATCGTCGTAAAGACAGATTCACATAAGTAGATCTGATGAGGGACGTTACGCTTAAGGCTACTTGAACTAACAACTATCGCAGAATACCAGTATTTACCTTTCTACTTTGTAAATTTAAACCTTAGAAATTATAAGAAACCAAATATGTTATCGTTCTCCAATACATTGGCGGTCGACCTTTAGACCGCGGTCAACGTCTTGCTCAGACCTACTTTAAATCAATCACCTTCGTTCCGACAAGCAGCAGCAGTTACCTACGTGCAGTTTGTCAGAATCTATTATTAGTCGAATGGAGTTTTTCAGGGTTCCAAAGGAGGCGGGGACCGATCTCAGGGAGGAACCGTGGTGGGGGGCGTCATCAGGGTAGTGTCCAGACGCAACCGGTTGCAGTGGTGCCAGGCGTTGCGGTTCCTGGACGACCCGGGTCCCGTAGTGGCCCTGGCGTCATTTCCCGGCAGCGGCAACACATGGGTTCGTTACCTGTTGCAACAAGCCACAGGTGAGAACTGCAGACGCATTGTAAGATTAAAAGAAGAGCAGTCTTCCTAAAGATGCGTGTTCTTTATTAGAACGTAACGTTAAGCTATTGGTGATTTTTTATGCACTGTACGAGCTAAATTAATAAATTCCTTTAAAAAAATTAAAATATCTCTGATACTCCATTTAAATTTTGATTTTTCACAAATATCCCTTCGCCCGCATTACAGTCGAATTACGTAATCGGGACAGATTACAAGAGAATAAAATGTATTTTAAATAAATTAATATAGCGCCATTTTACATGTCACTGGCTTTTTTGTGAATAAGCTAATAGTCGATCTGTATATCAACAAATTCCACGTGGGAAAAGTCCTGACAATGAATAATTTTAAGTCTAAACTACCGTCGTCAAACCCCTTTAGAACTGTATTCCGGCTTATATTAAAATACTGGGTTTGATTAATAGCAAAGCCATCAACTTTATATTTCGCTAATTATCCTATTATTTACACAGAAACTCCCGATAATTCAGATTCCACATTCTATTTTCATATACCAAATAGTCCGACCATGTTCTTGGATCTGTGTAACATTCTATGGTATACTAGGATTTTGAGGTGAAGGTATGCTAGCTTCCCGTCTAACTCCCGAAGCTGCAAGACCACCCTTTGTCAGCTGTCGGTAACTGCTTATTCAGTATATATATATATATATATATATATATATATATATCCTATTTAACCTGAGGACGGAAGCAGATCCAGCTTCCGAAACGTAATTTTCTTTAAAAAAAACAGACGATGGACAAAGTTCAAGAATTTAGTAATCCCGATCGTAATTTGTTATTTATATCGATCTATTGCTATGTCTTGCCGTCACATGATCTAGTAATGTCGCAGGTATTTACACCGGCTCCGTCTATAAGGACTACGGTTTGCTCAAGAACGGCTTCCCTGCAGAGTCCGTGGTGAATGGGTCCGTATCGGTTGTCAAGACGCACGAGTGGGGGGCGGCAGCTCGACGGCCTTTCGACAAAGCAGTGCTCCTCATCCGAGGACCGGGACCCGCGATACAAGCCGAATTCAACAGACAAAGCGGTGGTCACACCGGCTTCGCGTCTCCTGACAGATATCGCCGGAACAGGGGCAAATGTGAGTAGTCGAAAAACACGCAGGAGCGTAATTAATCTCCTGAGTAATGCTTGTTACTTCTAACTTATCAACGAAATTTTCATTTGTCGTATTTACTATTTGCAATTTCACATTTCGATTTTAATACGGAGGACCTATTAAGTTTTATACCGGAATAAGACACTATCGATCTATATGACCTTGAAACTATGTGTAACAATAAAATTTGCAGCTGTAATGATGATGCTCTAATTGTAAATAGAACATTTCGATAGAAAGAGCATCATTTTAATATATTTTAATATATTTTAAATATTAAATGTTAATTATAGTAATAATATTTTAATATTTAATAAAATATTTTATTGTGATTAGACGGTTAAAATAAACAATCAGCTGTAATAAAGTTTATTTTATGTGGGAAAGAAAGTTGGAAGTGTGGATAATCGAAGTTGTGTCTTACAAATTTCGTAAGAAGAATTTTTAGCCAGATTTTTATTTTAATGGGGGGAAAATGTAGGGTTATGATGTCATCATGCTCATCCTTGTATATGACCTCTCTTCCACTTAGATAAAAGGAATAAATATATATAAGTATATATTAAATCTTGTCCGTCTAATCACAATAATTCTTATTAAATATTAAAATAATTAACATTTAAAATATTTAAAATATTAAATGATGTTCTTTATCGAAATATTCGATTTACATTATTTACAATATTTTAAATAGTTTAAATGTTAATTATTGTAATATTTTAATATTTAATAAGAATTATTATGATTAGACGGACAAGATTTATTATATATACTTATTATATCACAATATGACGCAACTTTACCATCTTATGAAAAGGAATAAAACTGTTTTAATTTTACAATTCGTTATCTGGACGTCATACCACTGGCCACTGCCATTAATAAAACTAACTGTGATGTGATGTGAGAATAGTGTGGTAAATATGACGTCCGGATTCTTCCGTTCTAACGAAACTTATGCTTATAAATAAATCACTAAACTGCGTAATTATTAATAAACAATTTTTGCTTCGCTCAACATATAGACTGAAAGATATGAAAGAACATAAACGCCATAAGTACAACCCAGAACTTCCGTCTTGAATGTTAATATTCTTGGTGCTGTCTTAAAATAAACTCAAGATCACACAACACAGAACTAATTTCTGTCTTAAGTACTAATTTATTTTTTAAGTCATAGCATACAGTTGATTAAGTTCTTGTTAGGTTGTTCAAGAATGAGGCTATGACGTCATGAGATGTAATGGTCCACTGTTACTCAGAACATTTTGTGATGCTGTTGTATATTAAACACGCGAGAGAAATCAATAATTACGTTCACTTCTATATGTGTCTGGTTTGAATTTAATTGTTTTTGTTCATTGGTACTTCTGTTATGACGATTATACACAGTCAGTTTTA